ACACTTCTTCTTATTGTGCCATCCTCTATTCTGGTCACAAGGACGTCTAAAAATGAAATCCTAGAGTCTTCTTCTTTCTCAATAGTAAAATTTATTGCAGGCGGAACCTCATTAAATTTATCCAGGATGCTCTTTCTCCATTCTCGTTTTTCATAATCAAAAATTTATCTTCGATGTACCAAATATAGAATTCGAGTTCAATAATAACATCCTTCAGAGGCTCATTTTCTAGTTGCGCAAGGAAAATGTCGGCTAGAATGGTGGTCCTGGTGGTGACCTCATTGCCACACCGTCGATTTGTCTATACAGTTCCTTATTAAATCAAAAGTGGACATTCATTGCACATTTCAAGAGAAGCTCTTTCATAAAAGATATAGGAATGCCAACATCGATGTTTCATCTTACGAGTTCTTCGCATACAAAATCCACTGTTTCCATAAGTGATACATTGATGAATAAGGATATCATGAATTTGTTGTCAACGTTTAAATCTTTTATCCTTTCAACAAATCCAAAAGTATCCTTTACACTGTGTTTTACCAACTCGTTATAAAGAGGCTGTAAGCGTTCGACTAACCATTTGGCAAGGCGATGGTGTGGTGAATTTAATAATAATAATAATAATTTTTCCTTCACGTTCCCAGTGGAACATAGGGCTTCAAGCTAGTGGCTTGAAGTTTCTGTAGCAGTGTTTAATTTTTACAGGATGGGGTTGCTAGCCTCATGCCCAACCTTTCCTCTTTACCAGCATTATTCCTGGCTCAGTGAGGTAAAGGAGTGCGCCGGCTGGGGATCGAACCCCGGACCATATGCATGGTCGGCGAGCGTCCAAACCGCTATGCCACCGACGCACAAAGCGTGTGTCGGAGGTGGGATGCGAACCCACGCCCACATCGTGGACCAGAACTTGAGTCTGGTGAATTTACCATATCTAATACTGGTCGAAGCGGTACATCATTTTTGTGGACTTTAGGCAAGCCATATAGTCTTGGTGTGAACATTCCGGTGGGCTTAAGTGATGCATCTTGACTCTGTGAGATGAAGCCTTGTTTCTTCAGTCTCCTGAATGTTTCCGCTAACTGTTTCTCTATCTTTTCAATCGGATCCAGAGAAGAGAAGATTTTCGGGATTTTAGATTATCACTAAGAATAGTATTCATCTTCTCAAAGTAATCCGCTTTGTTCATGATAACCACTCATGAGTCCTTGTCCGGCGGTCTTGTTATTATTATGTTATCATTTTTACGGAGAATAATCAGAACTTCCCTATGTTTTTTGGTTAAAATACTATCCGAATTGAGTCTGCTATTCATGTAATAATAGCAACAATCGACCAGCACTGATTTAAGTCTTTCAACAACTTCAGTTGATGAGGGTGTTAGGCCTTCCGTTTGAGTGTAGAGACTTTCGAACTGAATTTGTGCATCTATTTTGTTAACTTTTACATGGCTATCACAAAATTTACGGTCAAGCGATAAAACCTGTAGATCCACTTCACTAAGTATTACATCCAAAAAATTAAACACAAAACGATTTGAGTTCGAAGGAGGAAATCTTGTTTTGTTTTTTTTCGAGGGCCTTGTTTTCCAAACTATGTACCAGTTTCCTGCTTTTCTTCTCTTTCCTACTACTCACAATTACAACCACATAATCTAAAAATAGTTTCTATAAGTTTTCTAGTAATTCGTCGACAGCATAGAACCTTTCTGTTACGTTCTTTGATAACTCAGTAATACGCGATTGAATTGAGTCAATTTGATTACGTGCATTGCGTTTGAGTGTCTTATCATTAGGCCGGACTTTATTACGGGATATATGTATGCATATAAACATATATATATATATATATTTGTAGAGCCACAACAGGAATTTATCGAAAAGGATATCCTTTGCTCGATTATTCTGTGTTTTATAGATAGATGTCTGAATGAACACTTTTGCTATATCGAAAAACATAAAAACAATTTGAAGCTGTATTCAGTCAACTGGTCGATTGAGTTTTCTGACCGTCTATAATACACACAATAAGAGAAACTATTTATGAATTCTTCGAAAAAAAGTGTTATTCTGACTCAGAGACGGAGAGAGATAGGGACAGAGAGAAAAGAGAAGAGTAGGTTGACTGACTACTCTTCAAAACTAAAAACACTGATGAGAATGTTGTTGACGATGATGATGATGATGACTCATTGAAGGGGCTGCATTATTTTTTTATGTTCATGTTTTTCTTTTTGGGTTGGTTGTGTGTGTGTGTGTGTCTGTGTTTGGGAAAGAAGAAGCATTTCTAATAATCAGTTCGCCGCTCCGTCAAATATGAGAAAGTAGTATGTGTATAAATATTATTGAATTTCGCTTCTACTGGTTTGTCTCTGACTTCATCTTACTTCCTGTGTGTGTGTGGGTGGGTGGGTGGTTCGTCGAGTGATGATGCGCATTTAAGATTCGTCAACAATTTCAGTCATTTGAAACGATATTGTATTGCATGTCAGTTTTATATATTGTATGTGTGCATATAAGCGTATCAAACACATAAATCATTGTGACAAACAACATCATGTTGCTTATGCTTGATGCATATTTTCTGAATGACTAAGCATGCCTGTGTTATTTGTTTGTTATTTGAATCGAGCATACCAGACAGTTCTCGGTAGTAGTAGTAGTAGTAGTCGTTTAACTTTGGGAAACTGCTGGTGTCGAGTATTCGGCATTTATGCCTCCCAGCACAGTTTTTTATTTAACGGATGACGCGATATATGTTACTGATAGTTGATTGGCATGAGTAATTCAACATTACAGACATCATACCAGTAGCGCTTCTGGTCAAGCTCATCCATGGCGTACACGAGACTGAAATCAGCTCTTAGCCCAAAATCATTTCAGAGTAACCCACCCACCCTTAGATTTTTGGCTAGGTGCCTTTGTGAACTGGCAATACATTACGTGAAATCTACAATTTGTGATTTATACCCTTTGGGAGTGTATTTTGTCTTCTTTTCTGGCTTGAGATTGATTAGCCATGCGCCCAATCTTTCCTTTTTTCTGGACAAGTAAACTGGGTGAGGTATAAAGAGAGGACTAATGATTATGCTATGATTTAAACCACCGACCCACACATTACACGCAGCTTATTTTACTGATCATAGATTTTACTCCTTTACGTCTATTGAACATATTTTCTGAATGCTAGGTTACTGATTGATTCTCTTGTGGAGTGGAGTTCCTTATTGCTTATTCTTCCTGGTGAGCCATTTGATCTTCAGTATGGATCCAGAGATGTTAACTGTTGATGAAGCCTGCAACAGGCTATTGGAAACGCTCTATGCGTGATACACACATGCTCAGTGATTCTAACCTATACAGAACCACTGAATCAGAATCGTGTTCCTTATTCTGTGGAGTGCAGAAAACTCACAAACTGATTTCAGAGTGGTGAAGGTCCGCCTTGCCTTTCTGGCTGACTGGTTTTGACATCTCCATCTGAGCCTCCACCTGCTCGTGTGGAGCCACGTATGTCGGCCGTACCCATCCAGCTTTCGCTTTCCAAACACATCCCCGAACGCCAACCAACATGGTTTTACAAAGGAGAAAAACGATGCTCCAATGCAGCTCTATCTGAGAACATCTGACAGATTCCGGACACCAAGGTACATCCCAGACAAACTTCTAAGTCGTCTACAGAATATGAAGTAATCTTCCTATATGTGCATGAATCAGACTTCTTCAAACTGCAGAAGCGATGGTGATTCACTTGCTAAGTCCTGAACTCTGCATACAGAAGAAGTTCGTTCATTCATTACACTTGCAATGGACGTAATCTATCTTATTACCGGACAAGTAAATTCTAACTTATCTCTTTTTTTTCTGTCTCTTCATTAGTATTATTTTGTCTTCTCAATTGTAATATTTTACATTTTCAACTTTCTTGTTCTCTACCCCTACCCGATTTAATTCCTACACCTCACTACCACTGTTACTGGCTTGACCAACGCTCAATTTCTAGTCATTTATATTACGTCATCCAACTTATTCGCTCACTTTCAGTTCTAATTTAAATGGCATTATTCTCTACCCCACTTCTACTTAGTCTCTCTCTCTCTACCTGTAATTACCTCTGTTGCTATCCTGACCTAAGTTGAAAAATTTTAGTCAATTATATATTACGTCATCTAACTTACTAACTAAATCTTACTTCAGTTGCTGTCTAATTAACCTTGTTTCTATATTAGATTATTCTTTTATTACCTGATCAATTATCTAAACTTGAAGTATGAAATGACATTATCATTTATATAACCATTGTAATTTCAGGTAGTGGTTTGGAGTTAGCTGATGAGGAGAACCTGCGAAGTAGAATGATAATGGCATCATTTTATACTGCATATCTGGTTTCACTTTCTCTATCGAAACATTAATGGTGTTAATAATAACACTAATTCACTCACTATTATAGATGGATAAATAGCTGCAGAACCTGATAATGAAGAACAGGTTATCGAAAATGTGACCACATTCTATTTTTGGAAAAAAAATTTTAATGGACATTTTAATCAGTTGGCACTGATGAGTCTATACATTTTATACATTTGAGTAGAAGTTCAGATTCCTCAAAATAATAATAATAATCCGACAAATAACGAAACATGACATACTGTGATATATATATATATATATATTGCATGGAGGATATATTCATGAGCTGACATCATCGACCTGCTGTACCCTACTGGTCACGGCTTCCCACTAGAACCCCAGGTTAACTGCCTCAATAGGGCCAGTCACGAGCTCGCCTTGTAACCAGAAGGTCCTGGGTTCGAATCCCGGTGGGTACGTACTGCTGAAGAGTCCAAAACTAGGACGAAACAGCTGTCCAGTACTCCCAGGTTTTCCAGTGGTTCTCTAACTGATATCAGCTCATGATTAAAACCTCCATGCAATCAAACAAAATCCCTACAAAACCAATACTTGAAAATATATATATATATATTGATCAAAATTACTTACTGTATCGATGCTGATCTGTTCAGTCAAACTATCCGCTAAGTGAACAGGTGCTACTACAAGAAAGTATTGACGTATTTTACCATACTGTTCACTGACACGACTCAATTGAAGCATAACTTGCAGTCGACTCGGTGATACAGCCACAGGTATCGGAGTTGGTACAAACGGAGGCCCTTTAAAAAAAAAAGAAGAAAAGAAAATGGATATTTTAACAATATAAATGTTAACATTTTTAGATTAAAATAACCAAAATAATCTATCTACTGACACTACAAAGTGTGTATTGAATGTGTTGCTTTTGATTGCTTTTGATTGACTTCATGTCTTCATGTCTTGTCTTCATGAAGGGAGATGTGGGTAAGGTGGTTAAAGTGTCACGTCCCAGGAGTGACCCTGAGCAGACCAATCATAAAAATAAGTGATTTTTACACGCACACACACACACACTATTGAGGTTTATTTAAAAGAAAATGCATGAAACACATTTAATTATTGTTAATATTGCCTTCGGTTCCGAGTGGAACACACTGCTGTCCTCTTCATCTGGCTAGCTCCGCAACTCCTCATAGACTACCATCTCTTCCTCCTCCTCTGTGTCATGCTCAGACCCACCACAAACTCGTCACTTCCCATTTGCATTCCGCTCAAGTGACTGATGCCCTGCATTGTTCGCGATGTCATTCGACGGCCTCAGACTTTCAGGGTTTCATCATAAGCTGACATTAGTTTGAGAACCATTGGAAAACCTGGGAGTACTGGACAGCTGTTTCAGCTGTCCTAGTTCGGGACTCTTCAACAGTACGCATCCACCGGGATCGGAACCCAGGACTTACTGGTTCCCTACAAAACCAATACCTGAAAATTCATCTGATGCTCACCAGCGACTGGCCTTATTCAGGCAGTTAACCTGGGGTTCTAGTGGGAAGCCGTGACCAGTAGGGTACAGTAGGTTGAAGATGAGGCAGTAACTCATTGAAGAAGACATTTGAAAATGGTCGCGCTATGTCGTGGATTAGCAGAAGTTAGAATTCATGGACCTGCTGGCCATTTGATCGGGTCCCAGTGGCTGAATGGTATATGAGTTCGCCTTGTAACCAGAAGGTACTGGATTCGAACCCCGTTGGGTGAGTACTGCTGATAGGATAGCTGAAACAGCTGTCCAGTACTCTCAGTTGATTTTCCAACGGTTCTCTAACTGATGTCAGCTTATGATGAAATCCTCCATGCAATCGAACATAAAACCGGCTTATTAGAAGTACTCAATGTACTAAAGTGTTTGCACCAATTTGAAGGTGTAATACGAATACTGAATAAAGTACACTGGAACTTACTTTGCATTTGTGTAAAGCAACTGGTAGTCTCCCAATTACTCTGCATATTCAATGTTAAATCATAATAAGCACTCAATTGGACATCGTAAACACTGTTCGGCTCTAAGTCGCTAACTGTATATGTATAACCTGAATGCAAGGCTGCATATGTTACACTGACACTACGTGCTGGAAATTCCAGCCGTTTAATTACACCAGCATCATCAGCAAATTTCTTTGAACCTCCAATCCGTAACTAAAATAAAGGTATTTTTAAAAAGAGAAAAGGCAGTTATAAGTCAGAGTAAAAAATTATTAAAAGAATACTTACATATAGATGAGGTGGTAATTCAGTGGTATTACGCTTTTCCAGCCATGTATTTGAACTGGGGATCGATGCCTCGTTTGCTGACACATTCTTATTAACGATAGCTAGCCCACACACAGTACGCCGGGAAACCTTGGAAGGGGTCTGAGGTGTGAGGCTAGCATCCATGCCGCATCGCTGGTGAAACTTCAAAGCTTACAGGGCTCAGGGACTTGAGTTCCACTGGGAATCCAAACAGAAAGTTTATTAAAACCAAGTGCGAGATTCCGTTCGGCTCATTACTAATTAACGGTGAGAATGCCACTTATGCGTCTGAAGTGATTAGAGAAGCTAGCGGTCTGTTTAACTAATTTTCCCTAGAGTAGAATGCATCAAGTCTACTCAGTTCAACTTTTCTCAAACCATTTCATTACGGAATTGCAGAACAAAGGAAATTTATGTACGTACGCCATTAAATAGCGTTCACTAAACTGATATAGGAATGTTTTGAAAGGATAAAACCCACTGGGGGTTGAGGCGTGTTTCAGATGCCAATTCACATTATCTCCTCCCTGTCACTCTCACACCCACCACCCAATCGTCACTTCCAATTGGAATTCCATCCCAGCAATGACCTGCACTGCATGCTGGATTATTATTCGACAGCTTCAGCATTCCTCAGCTAATGCCCAACCGATTCGTCTCCATTTTGCTAGGACATATTTGTTGGGTGATCGGCTCTTTGTTGGTTGGTTAATCGCAAGACAGGGTTTCGTGTTGCTAATTCTTTCCAGACAGAGGGCCAGCTGGCCACCTGGTTAATTGATCTTTAGTATGGAGCCAGTCAGCCAGTGAAGTCGACGACTGTTGGTGAAAGCCTGCAACAAGCTGTCAGGAATGCTTTTCGTGAGGCACGCGCAGTGCAAGTTCCTCACCCACATAGAAGCACTAGTCGAATGACTGACCAACTGACTTCACTGACATTTGTGTTGAAAATCCTGATCTCTTCGTTTATGCTGGCTGAAGCGGAGTGCGGAAGGTTTCCAAATTGGTTTCAGATTGATCAAGCCGTGCGTATCCCGCCTTTCTGGTTCTAGCCGGGTGGCTGGCCACTTTTTCACACCTTTATCCGATCCGACTGCTTGTGGTTGAAACGATGCTGCAGCTTAGGCTAAATAAGTGAAGGCAGAAAGTGAACTGTCCCAACCTCTTCCTCCCCTTCATGGTGACTGGTGCTGCTAGCTGTTGTTGTTGATGGTGGTGGTGTTTGGTTATCTTCATCACCCCCGTCTCCATCTTCTCCATGTTCATCACCTGGATGGAGTCAGTCCTGCCTGTCTTCGCTGACAGCCAGTTCGTTGGCAGTTTTCGCCTGCCTTTCAAGTCTTCCAGTTTGTATTTCTGATTGTGTGACGTTCAACGGCATAAATCATCTACACGAGAAATCTAGGTCTTCCCGATTCTTCATCGGTGAGTGTCTTCTCACTAACTCCCAACCCACAGTCTCATCCGCGTGATCCAGTCTACCACGATTAGGAGTACCATTGTTGGCGATAAGCGGCCGGTAACCTTGTCCTACTCCTGAATTCCCTCACTTCAAAGGCAGGCTTCATTGATTTTTCCATTGTGGATCACCTGACACGTAGCATTATCATATAGACAGCTTTTGACTGAGGTTGATAGAAGACCTGGTGCATTGCCCGCCATAGTTTGAAGCAGTTTTCAAATTACTTCTTGGTCAACCCTGTCTGTCTAAGGCCTTTCCGAAGTTGATGAAGTTAAATTAACAGGTTTGACGCAATAAAGACAATATTTTACCCTGATGTAACTTAAAAATATACTTTCCAATTACGATGAAGGGGATCACTTTCTAAGTTTCCTAACCACATTAAAATCGTTTCATATGTATAAACGAATGGTTGAAACCAACCGACCACAGGAAGTCCTAGACCTAAGATTCGTGCTAGTTGGCGTTTAACAATCAGTCAACCAGGAATTCTTATCCCTTATGAGTGTAGCATAAAGTTCTATTTTTTAATCACAGATATCAATGAATTTAAACGTGTCACTACTAACTTGTATTTATCACTGGACAAAAAAAGAGAATCTGATATCTTTCATTTGTACTCAGATTCAGTCTTTGAAATAACTTTGCTTCATTTTTTTTAAAATTTTTTGGTTTTTGAAAGACATTCAGTTTGTTGTTGTCGTGATAAATGTGTAGTCGGCATTATGTCGGGTTCAGTGCAAAAAACACTTTATGTCCTTATGATGAATAAACGCTCTCTTAAGAAAATTTCCTCAGACCAAAAACAGACCAATGCACACTTGTGACTGAGACAAGATGAGATGTATACAAGTTGAGCCTAACGATGAGTATAAATAAAGAGTTTGAAGTGTGCATTTTGGCTTCCTACCCTCTCTCCCTTCCTCTCTAACTCACTCACTCACTCACTCACTTATTTACTTTCTAAACATCAAAATATTCGAATACTGGAATGCACCATCAATCGAACATATAAATCATCGTTCTAGCCAGTGTTGTATTAAAATGAATTTATATCCCTTTGGTTATCAGAATTTTAGTATGATAATAATGGGGATGTAGCGTTTTAAACTTTCTGGAATGAGCACATGTGTGTGTATGTGTGTGCGTGTGTCTGTGTATGTGAATGTCTGCATGCATGCATGCACGCGGGCGTGCGTGCGTGCAGGTATCTATTTAATTTATGAGAAAGAATCGTGACAAATTTTCAGTTGCTTTTAGAGACATTTTGACTTTGTCATTTTTTGGTTGTTGTTGTTGGAAATAATTTTTGAAGAGAAAACGACTTCGAGAGAGTAGTAGCATTATTATTATTATTATTAGTAGTAGTAGTAATAGTAGTAGTAGTAGTGAGGGCTGAGTTAAACTGATATGAAATTGAAAATTTGAATTAATTATGTGAACTGAAACAGGTGTATGCTGTCTAAAAACGAAAGGATAATTTGTGTTTTCATTTCACTCCTATCCATTTTATGTCCCCTAGTATTGAATATCAGTAATATTTTCTCTAGTTATCCCACTAAGAACTGGGACAACATATATGCTAATGTTTTCACTGTAGTGACCAAGACTTTGAGGCTTAGTATAAGTTTCTTTTAGACTGCAGCTTTACTGTTATGTTTTTTTTTCTCTCTAAATCTTGGAAGATATCTATTCTCCTTGAGGGCTTGTCCGAGTCGTTTCAGTTCCATGTCTTAAGGATAAGGAGTGGAACAGTTTTGTCTTTCTTCTCAAAGGGAGCTAACTATGCGAATTCGTGTACTGACTGGCTATACCATGTTGGTTTCCTGTAGATCGACCTTTGAAAATAATCGTCAGATTTCTTTTGTTTTTAGAAAAAAATCTGCATAAAATGGAATTCCAGAGTTCATCTCTGATTCCAATTTGAACTGGACAACAGGGTGGTAGTTGTTGAGCTTTTAAGTTAACATTTTAATGGAAGTACCATCCATGTATCTTTGGTACATATGGAAACTATCTGACCAGCTCCTTATCATCAAGAATAAGGACGATATGTACCAGTGATACAATCGACAGGAAATTGGAGCGACTCAGGTAAGTCCTCATAGCAAAATGGATATCCTTCAAGATTTATTGAGAAAAACGTGAAGGTAAAGTAAAAGCACGAAAGAACCCAGACGGTACGAAGAAACTGCTATTTATGAACGGTGAATTTAAAGATGACACCGCTGCCAAGATTAAAGTACGCATAGAATTTGAACATTTTGGTGGAATGTAATTCTACATTAATTTGTGTATTAGATATACCCCACACACACAGTGAAACAGTATTCTTAATTACTGGATGACGAAGTTTCGAACACAATTTATCAATTGTTCATAATCATGTCGGCAATTACAATCACTTAACCTCGAAACTTTCCTTGTGTAATTCTCGTTATTACTTCCTATTGGTCATAGGTTGGCGGCAGTAGAAAAATTTTCTAAATATCTGGGAGGATGAGTGTTGAATCATTTCTATTACACGTGTCTGCATATGATTCGATATATATATATAAAGCTTCAGTCAGTTATCAATCTCTCCCACCTCACACCCCGTTATAATGGGTTTTAAAACTGTCATCTCATCCCATCAACTTACATTGTGTGGTTGTGTGTAGTTGCATGCAGTTGCATGCATGCAGCTGAACAGTTCTCCACATCTCTTATGTCATAAGGGTCAACAGCCAACTAATCTACATTTTACTAGGTTCTTGTACTGCTCCACCAGTCTGACAGGCTGACTGACTGACTGACTGACTGATTGTCTCACCCCGTTCTACTACTCTCACCTATGCATTATTCTGTCCGACACACAATCATTCCAGCAGGGTATCAGATAAACTAGATTGTTTTGTTTAATTGGCTTCATAGGAATGATCCTTTAATTGATAAGGCGTGTTTCTAATTGAGTTTGAGGGTGGTGTGAATTCCAGCCACTTTTATTCCTTCTTGCGTTGTTAAGAATTCCGCATTGTAAATTCTCCAAGGTCCCTCCTTTGTATGGAAGCAAGCACCACCGGTGTTTTATCTTCCTTATTGTTTGTGTTATTCTGTGCATGTTTGACATGCATGTAGTCATTACTATTACTATTATTATTATTATCACTATCACTACCATTATTAATAATTTTAGTTTTACATTTTTCTGCATACTTCTTGATTAATTTATCAGGCTAATTGCTAATTAAGTTTGAAAGCTTCTCTCTTATACCTCACCTCCTGTATTAGATTTTCCGTCGTACTATTCAGTTTTTGTGCCCTATTTTCAATTAAACATTTCACCAATCCAAATTTTACTGACATAGGATGTGATGATCCGGTATCGAAATATCGGTTTGAATGTACGGGTTTCCCGTAAACACCAGTGTTTAATTTCCCATTTTCTCTTCATTTTACGCTG